AATGGATCATTAGGGCCTGGTGTGGTGGCTCACGCTTGTAATCCAATCACTTTGGGAAGCTGGGGCAGGTGGATTACCTAAGGTTAGGAGTTCAAGACCAGACTGGCCAACATGGTGAAAGCCTGTCTTTACTAAAAATATACACACACAAAATTGCTGGGTTTGGTGGTAGGTGACTGTAATTCCAGCTACCTGGAGGCTGAGGCAGAAGAATCACTTGAACCTGAAAGGCAGAAGTTGCAGTGAGCTGAGATTGTACCATTGCGCTCTAGCCTGGGCAACAAGAGGGAAACTCTGTCTCAAAAAAAAAAAAAAAAGAAAAGAAAAAAGAAAAGAAAAGAAAGGATCATTAAATATTAATCTAGTAGATACATCATCTGAGAATTTAAAAGTGTCGTTTCCATTCAGATGTTTATTTATGTTATTGTTTTTGCTGTTGTATGCATTGGCTAGACACTCCAGGGTAATGTTAAATAATATTGATGATAATATTGACCTTAACGGTGTATTAGTCACGTCTCTTATTTTCCTAATTTGATGCTTTGACATATGAGCCTTGTTGACGCTTGGAGGGACTGTTCCTCTCAGGATAAGCTAATTGCTGGATATAATAATCAACTTGCCTGCATGTACACCTTTCCTGTATAATCCAACCAACCCAGAGTTTGTACTCCTTCTTTATCCTCTCTTCCTCACTCTTTCTTCTTCTTTATCTCTGTTTATCTCTTTTGCAGTCTTCATTCTTCACATTTCTGGCCACTATCCTACTGCCCTAATTTCCTCAGGGCCAGGTAGCAGCTTCTTCTTCCCAGAAGTCAATGAAATTATTCAAACTAGCCAATGCTGAGCCTGATTAGCCTGGCTTGCTTATTCCTTCCCATGAAAACTGAAATAAATATTCTTTCCCATGATTCCCCCCATTTCCTCTGCCTCCTGACTGACCTTGATGTTTCCCTGTCCTGCCCCTTGTGATGTGCTGTGCCTACTGCTTCTAGGGGACTGTGAGTAGTAAAATCGACTACTCTCCTTATGACAGTCATTTCTGTGTTTGTGAGTCTCACTATCACTGATTTAAAAAAATCCTGGGTACCATGAATGTAAATGACATTCTCTCAGTGCTGTCGGTTTCGGACACCCTTTATCAGTATTAAAACATCTTCCTCAGTTGCTAGCTTCTTATGAAGTTTTAATTTTTTTTAACAAGGGGTATTGCTGAATTTCATCAAAAGCCTTTGTGACATTTATTGAAATAATTATTTATCTCCTCTGACTTTTTCCAATAAAAACGATACTGATTGAACAATAGGTTAAAATTAAAGTTTCATCAAGGACCGCCAGGATATAAGAGCTGTGAAAGTCCAAATCACCATATGCAGGTTTTCATAGCAAATATTTGAGAACCTGTTCCACAACTGTTAATTCCCCACATCGACTTTAGCAATGTGAAGTGACGTGAAGTGGGGAAGACTCCAGGGAGCTGCTGCCTTGCACTCTCGCCTGTCTCACCTTTGATCGTCATAAGTGTGGGGAGGAAAATAATGCAAACTCTTAACCCTGGGTCTAGAGGAGGAATTTTTAGGGGACCACCAGGACAACTGAACCAAAAACTCCTGGAACTAAGAAGCAGTTATAGCAAGGATGCTACATACAAGGTTGATATAGGAAAGTCAATTGCAATTGCTCTTTTACACACCAGCAATGAGCAATTGGAAGCTGAAGTTAAAAACAATGCCACTTACGTGAACATCCCTTTCCCCAAATGGAATACTTAGGTATAGCTCTAACAAAATATATAAAATATCTCTAAGGAAACCTATAAAATTTTGATTAAAGAATTGGTGAATACAAATTAAGATCTGATGACTATAGCCAGAATAAGAAATATAAAATATATACAATTAAAAAATAAGGAGGCTAGCGTTAGAAGATCTAACATACATTTCATTAGAATTTCAGAAAAAGTGAATAAGGAGAGGCAATATTTGAAAACAAAATAAATTACAATTTTCAGGAATAGTGAAAGGCAGATGTTTGTAGATTCAGAAACCTCTGTAAATTATCAGGTAACTTAAGTAAAAAGAAATCCACAGTGAGATCCACTGTGTGCACCAAAGACAAAGAAAAGGTCTTAAAATCATTCAGAGGGAAAACAAAGAGGTGACCTAATAGGAATAATAATTTGATGGCTGACTTCCAAGAACAACAGTGAAAGGCAGAAGATAGTGGAGACAATCCCCTCAGAAATCCGAGAATTTTTACTGTCAATTGGAATTTTACATCCACTGAAACCATCTTTGAAGAATGAGGGTGAAGGAAAGACACTCTAAAAACCCAGCTATAACACAAATACTAGACAATAATGTGTGTGTGTGTGTGTGTGTGTGTGTGTGTCTGTCTGTCTGTGTGTGTTTTAGATCAAAGCGTTACCAAGTCTATGTGTTTTCTGGGTTAAAGTTGTTTAACTGGAGATTTTATTGAGTTTGGATATTATCATTATAGGTAGATATTAAAAGAATAGGTACAGTATATAAGTTTTCAACAGGGAGTTTAAAAAGAAGAATAAAATCCTAATCACATGAAGTAGACAAGAAAGGAAGAAAAAAGCTCCAGAAAAATCCAGAATATTAGAAAGTACAAACTAAGATGTTAAAAACAAATAAAATATGTAATCACAATGAGAGTAAAAATTAGAGGCCAGTGTTGGCTCATACCTATAATCCCAGCACTATAATCCCAGTGGGAGGCCAATGCAAAAGAATTGCATGAGGCCAGAAGTTAGAGACCAGCCTAGGCAACATAGTGAGACCCCCATCTCTACAAAAAAAAAAAATTAGCCAGGCATGGTGGCATGAGCCTGTAGTCCCAGCTACTCGGAAGGCTGAGGCAAGAGATGGCTTGAGCCCAGAAGGTTGGGGCTACATTAAGCCATGATCACACCACTGCACTCCAGCCTGAGACCCTATCTCCAAAAAAAAAGAAAAAGAAAAAGAAATTTAAAAAGTAAAAAGAATAAACACTTGCAGTTAAAAATAAAAATAAATTAAAAAAGTAAAAATAAACACTTGCAGTTTAAATAAAAATAAAAATAAATTAAAAAAGTAAAAAGAATAAACACTTGCAGTTAAAAGATAATTACTAAACTACCTATAATCACAACAAATCCGCTATATGTCATTTACAAGTGGCAAATGTAGAACATAAAGGTACAGAGAGTTTGAACGTGAATGAATAGATTTGTCAGGCAAATACCTGAAAAAAGGTGGTACAATTGCATGAGTACAAGAAAAAAAGCAGAAAACATTACACAGTGATAGGCGGTTCAATTTACCAGGAAGTTACATATGTAATTTTCTTTACACTTAATAATAAACAGTATTAGAATGTATAAGGCACAATTCGCAGAACAATAAAAAGATATTGACAAATTTGCCCTCCAAAGATTTTAAAACATCCTTCTTAGTAATTGATGGATGCAACAGACCAGACAACAGGCTGCAGGCAGAAGATTTGTGCAACATGCTTAACAAGATTGTTCTAAGGACCACGTATAGTGCATTGTACCCAAGCACACATAAACCATCTGTAAACACAGATCACACATCAAGCCGTAAGTCTCAACACCCTTCAAAGCCTCAATTATCATGGAATTGGAATTGGGTCATTTCAGTGTCACACTGGCCAAGATTCCTAAGATCAAAGAAAATATGAGGCTTAAATGTTCATTCCCTTCCTTGAGGACTGACTGTAAAATCTTAGTTCATGTTCTATTATGTGACAGATTAAGTCACATTTTGTGTAAACTCTACCAAACGCTGTGGTTTGTGTTGCAGTTGGCCTATTACATGGTTCTTTGCCCCAGTGGCAGCATTATACAAGAAATCATGGAGTTTTTATAAGTGATACGGGATTACTGTCCTATATTGTTGATTAGGTATTATTATTCATAATGTATTATTATCCATGTACTCCTTCTCTAGTTCCCAATTTCACCGCAGTTTTTCCACTCCCCCCAACACAACCAAATATCTCACTAAACATTTCATAAAGAAACAAATTTTGCTGCCTTTCCTGGATCAATCTAAATAATCCTACTCAATTATAGGTAGAACTTGTAAAGACCTTTCAGCCAGACGCCAAAGATTGTGTTCAACTTGAGTGAAAATCAGAGTTTACGATCCTCATGAGAACCCTGTATTCATGGACTTGCCTGGCTCTATTTGTCACTGTTTTCTTAACATAAGTGACTCCATTTTGATTCTGACACCTTTCCTGTATTGTCCCAGCGATCTACGTAAAGACCATGATTTAGTTAGGTGTCAGAAAAGCTGTGTTTTGACTGCATCTGACATCAAAGGAACAGAATGAAATGAAAACTGGAGAGAGGCACTGTTGATGAGATGAAATTTCATGTCAGGCAAATTTATCTTCTATCCTATTTCCAGTATACGCTTTCAGAAAAAAGGGCACCTTGTTAGTTTCAATGGCTAAATATTTTGGTTTTAAAACTAAATGTTTCTCATTTTAAAGATTCATTTAGAATGCAGGAGTGTCCAATCTTGTGGCTTCCTTGGACCACATCAGAAGAAAAATTGTTTTGGGCCAAACATAAAATGCACTACCCCCCCCCCCATAAAATTGAGAATAACTAATAACCCCCCTAAAATTGAGAAAATATAAAGTTTTTGAGAGACAGTTAGCGATGATAGCTAATAAACCCCCTCAAAAATTGAGAAAATATCTTAATGTTTTTGAGAGAGAGTCTTGCTCTGTGCACTGACACAATATCAGCTCACCGCAGCCTCTGCTTCCTGGGTTCAAGGGATTCTCCCATCTCAGCCTCTGGGGCTGCTGGGATTACAGGGGTGCACCACCATGCTCTGCCAAAAGCTCATAATGTTTTGTGTTGTGCAGCATTCAAAGCAGTCCTGGGCGGCCCGCAGCCCATGAGTTGAGACAGCATGATTTAGAGCTTACTTTTCTCCAAATATTAAAACGTAGCATTAATTATCTTCCTTTATTTTAAAAAATGCGTTATTTTCCACTCACTCAAGATTTTGAGAAGTTTTACAGTTAAAAAAACCCCACAAAAATACAAAACCAAAAGAGAGCCATGGAAATAAAACTAAGAAAACGTAAAAGGCCTATTAGAAGCCAATTTGAAAGAGAAGAGATATAGGTCCCAAGAACCGAGGATAAATTGGTCATTAAATGTATCTTGGAGGGAAAACATTCCAGGTAGAAGAATATCTATATGATTGCCTTTTCTTGCCCTTGCATTTTTATTTGCAGAATACTCACAGCATTGTAATAATAAGACAATTCAAAAAACTATCTAAATAACCATTTCTTTCAATGACTGTTATTCAAGCATTAAAAAAGCCAAACCAAAACAGCGTGTGTCCAGGACTCCAATCAATCAAACAACAGGATCTCAGAGAAAGGGAACAGGCTCTGTTTGTCATGTTTTCTCATTTTCCTCTCTCGATTTTCATGAAAATTCTGAAGGTCACAGAGGTAGAAATGGAAAATCTATATAAGGTCACCAAGACTTAAGAAGGCATGGGATGGGGAAAGCTATTTTTAATTACAGTGTTGATGTCAAGATAGATTGACCCAATAATTAATCTTTCTAGAAGCACTGTCTTCAGGAAAAATGTTTAACTTTTATTCATTTCATACTTCTGAACATAATAAAATAAATGAAACTAAAACAGCACTTTAGGTAACTTGGAAGGGAAGATACATTCCATTTAGGTGAAAATACATAGGAGCGATATGTACATTTGAGCAGATATTCTGAATTCGATTGGGTTAATGGTTATGGCTGTACTTGAGCACAACAGTGAGAAGTTTCCCATCACATTTTACCTGAAATGAACAAGATGTGAGGGAAATCTAGCAAAACCTGCACTGGGGGTCACCGATGCGTCTCCCTCTGGCACACTCACTGTGCCCGTCCCTAGGACACGTTGCCTCTCTTCTTTTGCAAAGCTTTCATGAGGTCTGACATGAAATCTTGCTCCCCGCCACCTGCCCCGCCGGGGGGCGCTGGGTTCTCGTGCCTCTTGGGGGGCATAGGAGGTCTCTTGGCGACCGCGGGGGGCGGCCTGGCGGAATCGGGGGCGAGCGCGGGCGGCGGCGGCGGTGGCGGGGGCAGCTCTGAGCCCGCGGGTCCTGCACACGACGGCGGGGGCGGGGGCACGAAGTCCGGGGGCGGCTCCATGAAGTCCGGGGGTGGCGGCGGGAGCTCGAGGTCGTCCATGGGTGGCGGCGGCGGCGGCGGCGGAAGGAAGTCGATGGGCGGGGCGAGGAAGCCCCCGCCGCCCGTGCCCTTGGCCTTGGGGGTCGTGGCGGGGCTGCCGCCGGTGTCGGAGGACCGCCGCATCGGAGGGGGAGGTGGAAGGCTGGACTTGGGGGCCTGCGGGGCCCGAGGCGTTCCGGGCTGGGGGTGGTTCCCGAGGGCTGGTTTCTTATCCTGCAATGGAGCAACAGCAGCATTCATTTTTTTTAATTAAAAAAATTTTAAATTTATTTTTATTATTTAGTGAAGACAGGGTCTCACTCTGTCACCCAGGCTGAGTGCAGTGGCGCGATCTGGGCTCACCGCAGCCTCGATCTCCCTAGCTCAAGCGAGCCTCCTGCCTCAGCCTCCTGGGTAGCATTTTTTCATTCTTGACAACAGAGCCCTAGTGGACGGGACATGCCATGGATATGTGAGGTCTCTGTCCGCCCCTTGGGGAGCCTCTGTACCCCAGTCACTGGGACTCTTGGCTGTTGATGAGCTCATCCTTGCACTGGAATATGGCAATTATTCTAAATGGCCTTTAAATTAAAAATAGTCTTTTAAAATTTTTTGGCTGGACATGGTGGCTCATGCCTGTAATCTCAGCATGGTGGGAGTCCCAGGCAGGCGGATCACTTAAGTCCAGTAGACTTAACCTGTTATAAATATTTATAAATTATTAAATTACTATATAGCATATTACTATATATAAATTCTTGAATTAATATATAAATAATATAATATACATATAATTATACCATATGTAATAATAATTTTATGATGTCCCCAGGCAGCTGGATTGAATCCCTCTGTTTTAGTGATAATTATCATTCCAAGTTACAGTTTATCAGAATTCCAGTTTATTTCATTCTATACTTAATAGTCTCTTACCACTGAAGATTAAAGTTGGAAGTTTTTTTCTAATAAAGTGCCTTCTGATTTAGTATCTATTTTATTTAGTTTATTTGCTTAGCATGATAAGCTAATTAACTGGTGAGTATTTTTTCATTTAAATTTCCAAACAGACAACTTGGGAGTTAGTGTTCATAAGTGATTTCTATTCTGGGATTCTTTTATTTCTTTCAGCATTTTAAAATGCTTTTCTTCAATTGGCATTATAGAAATAATGAACTAAAACTAGCTGAAAGCACATTGCATGAAGAGATTGTCAGGCTTGAGAAGATAATGAGAACATTAACGAAATACAACTTTTTAAGAAGGTCTGGTTTTCAAAGTTATAAGAAGTTCCATCTCAAAAAACAAGAAATTCAATAAATACCAATATTTAATTGTTTTCATTACTGGCTGATGAACAAAATGAAGGGGTGAAAGAAATGAAAAATTGCTAAAGTTAAGCACCCCGCCTGTCCTAGCTGGGTGACATGCCATTGTCACAGTTATTTAAGGTTGTTTTGAATTACACATGAGAGATCTTCAACAGAATTTGTATAGTCAGCTGAAAGGTTTTGAACTAACTTAGTAACTAAGTAATAATTATCAGCTATGATTTTAAGATAGGTTTAAATGAATCCTCATTAATCTATTCAGTTGAAAATGTTATAGAGAATGTTATACCAATTTGCTATTATTTTACAATGCATTTTCTCCTCCATCACCATAGGGATGTATGTAGGACGTTAGTGGGGAAGATAGAAAATGCACATATTTAATGTAACCCTTTTTAAAATCTTTTTTTCTTTCTTCAAGACAGGGTCTTTATCACCCAGGCTGGAGTGCAGTGGTGCGATCAGAGCTCACTGCCGCCTTGAACTCCTGGGCTCAAGGGATCCTCCTGCCTCCGCGTCCCCGGTAGCTGGGAGTAGAGGTGCTCACTACTGTGCCCAGCCCCTATTTACAGTGTAACTCTTTTGGCAGTCCACTAGTCTGATTTTGGGGGCCAGTTAGCACTTCATATAGGGCTTTGGACTAACTGGTTGCCCCATTTTATTCAAAACAGGAAAGTAAAATCCCAAGGGTTTAAAACTTGGGTGTGCCACTTTCAGAGAGGGCTAAAATCACTCGACTAAACCAAGAAAACCACTTTGGTCAAAGTAAAGGTAGCTAAATAACTCCAGAGTTTAAAGGAAATGCTTACATTTTTCCTAAGCAGTGTGATGATAGCTAGTTTTAACTTTTGATTCTACCATATGTAACTTTAAGATTACAAATACAAAGCAATTACCTAAATGAAATGGTAGTGACTGCTCAGTTGTTGGAAGTACATCTTCTTATTTATCTATTTATAAGACTGGGTCTCGCTCTGTTGCCTAGGCTGGAATCCAGTGGCACCATCACAAGTCACTGCAGCCTTGATTTTCTGGGCTCAAGCAATTCTCCCACCTCAGCCTCCCCAGTAGCTGGGGACTACAGGTGCGCACCACCACGCCCAGCCAATTTTTTTTTCTTTTTATTTCTAGTGGAGACGAGCTCTCGCTATGTTGCCCAGTCTGATCTTGAACTGAAGCTCAAGTGATCCTCCTGCCACAGCCTCCCGAAGTTCTGGGATTACAGGTGTGAGCCACCGTACCCAGCATATTTTCTCTTTTTAAAAGAGCAGTTATTGGAACAATGTGAATGGTTTAGGACATGGGCTTATGGGGGCGGCTGGATGGAATGTGTGTAAGCTGCTTGCTGGCCTCACCTTCCATGTTTCAGCATGTGTCTGGGCCTCTTGGAGAACAGCACTGACAGAATGTGCAGCCTGAGGCATCTGTCCATTGGGCTGGGGGGTGCCTGTTTTAGGTCCTGAGAGGGAGGAAGCCAGAAAAGAAAAGTGAGTAAAGCATTTTCAACATTCTTGCAAATTAATCTGAAAATACAAAGCAGTTTACATCTCTAAAGCAAAGAAAAATACTTGCTGGCTACTTCTTACAAAAATATAAAAATAAAAACAAAGCAAAGAAAGCAATTCACAGGCATGGCATGGTATACAAGACCTATGAAAAATCTCAGGTTCTGTGACAAAACTTTATATGAGATTCAGCAAAAGGTTCAGGAAGGTGAGTCCAGTATTTGATAAACTCCACCGAGTAGAATCCGGACTAATGGGGATCCTGGAGAGTAACAGTATGTTTTACTTTTTGGCTGAGACTGGTGACTCAGGCCTGTAATCCCAGCACTTTGGGAGGCCAAGGTGGGTGGATCACAATGTCAGGAGTTCAAGACCAACCTGGCCAAGATGGGGAAACCCCGCCTCTACCAAAAAAAAAACCAAAAAAAACCCACAAAAATTAGCCAGGCATGGTGGTGTCTGCCTCTAACATCAGCTACTCAGGAGGCTGAGGCACAGAACTGCTGGAACCCGGGAGGCGGAGGTTGCAGTGAGCCAAGATCATGCCACTACACTCCAGCCTGGGTGACAAAGCGAGACTCCATCTCTAAACAAACAAACAAAAACAACCACCATCACAAAAACTTTTCAGTAATTGAAGAATACAGGGCTCCAGCCTGGGTGGCAGAGCAAGGCCTTACCTCCAGAAAAAAAAAAAGAAAAAGAAAAAGAAAACAGATGTTATGTGTCTGGGCTGGGTCGAGTTGGGGAATTTGAACCTGATTATCAAACGAGAAACATACCCGAATGCTGTCTACAAAGTTCTGTTTTTTTTTTTTTTTTTTGGGACGGAGTTTCGCTCTTGTTACCCAGGCTGGAGTGCAATGGCGCGATCTCGGCTCACCGCAACCTCCGCCTCCTGGGTTCAGGCAATTCTCCTGCCTCAGCCTCCCGAGTAGCTGGGATTACAGGCACGCACCACCATGCCCAGCTAATTTTTTGTATTTTTAGTAGAGACGGGGTTTCACCATGTTGACCAGGATGGTCTCGATCTCTTGGCCTCGTGATCCACCCGCCTCGGCCTCCCAAAGTGCTGGGATTACAGGCGTGAGCCACTGCGCCCGGCCAAAGTTCTGTTTCTATAGAATGTGTTGGATATGTTTTGAACAGGAGCACCAAGCTTTGAACACGTGTTGGACTTTCTCCTCCACTTCGTACCTGTAGACAGCTGGGCTGGCTGAGCTGGTGCAGCTGCATTGACTGTCCCCAAGTTTGTCCACCGAGAGGCAAGTCCAGCCTTTGCCATGGCCCGCTGGTAGTTATCATAGAGAGTCTTCCCATACTGGGGAGAGAACACAAAGGAAGAGGGAAAGGAAGCCATTTATCCCAAATTGGGCACTCAATTGCAACATACACCCACAGAAGAAAAAAGTACTCTATGGCTATTCTGTTCACCACTGGTCTGAGTTACTTTTTGGATATTTCAATTAAGATTTAACAAATTGTTTTTCACACGTTCAGTCATTTTCCAGATTAGCAGAGTCAGTTAATTTTTTCAACTACATATTAGAGGAGAGCTTTGGCCACTCAATTCTGATTACATATGTCTTTATGTAACTCGATTATAGATTCCATGTTGCAGTTTTTAATTGCACACTAGGCTTGCAACACTCGCCATGAATAAATATCCAGTTATTGCAGAGATCCATGTTTCTAACACTCCCTGCGTTTAGAAAACCCACTGGGCAAATAAACTCGATAATTTCTGTGGCTGAACCCAAGGATGGGCCAACTGCTTTGCCGCAGCAGGAAAGCTGTGCCCAGGTCAGGAAGTTGGTTGGCAAATTCAAGACAGGGTGAAGTCCAAAGACTCTCTCACCTTGGCTATCCGTATTCCCATGACCCACTGGTTAAGGGTTCTTGCGTCATCACAGCAGAGATACTTGATATACTGGGACTCCTTCTGAATTTGGGGGTGCTGGAAAGAAGCAGTTTTGAGACAATGTATTCACTTGTCATGTATTTGGAGGTCAAAGCACCTGTCAGGAAATTAAAAAAAAACTAACAATATAAGTGATTTATGTGGCAAAAATGACTGGTTGCAATGTTAAGATCAGGAAGAAGAGAACTGTTAAATATGACTAAATTTTGAAAGAATTTAAGAGATTTGTTATATGTTGGGAGGCTGAGGTGGGCTGATCACTTGAGGTCAGGAGTTCGAGACCAGCCTGGCCAACATGGTGAAACCCTGTCTCTACTAAAAGTACAGCAACAACAACAAAGTTAGCCAGGTGTGGTGGCGGGTGCCTAGAATCCCAACTACTCTGGAGGCTGAGGCAGGAGAATTGCTTGAACCTGGGAGGCAGAGGTTGCAGTGAGCCAAGGTCACACCACTGCACTCCAGCCTGGGCGACAGAGTGAGACTCAAAAAAAAAAAAAAAAAAAGAAATTTGTTATATGACTATCATAAGCACATCTTTAAAAAAATTTTTTTTAGGTATTAACAGGGTATTACTCTATTGTCCTAGCTGGAGTGGCTCAATCATAGTTCACTGCAAACCTCGAACTCCTAGGCTCAAGAGATCCTCCCTCTTCAGCCTCCTGAGCAGCTAGGACTACAGGTGCAAACCACCATGTCCAGCTAATTAAAAAAAATTTTTTTTTGTAAAAATGGAGTCTCATTATATTACTCAAGCTGGTCTCAAACTCCTAGCCTCAAGTGATCCTCCTGCCTCAACCTCCCAAAGTGCTGGGATTACAGGCACGAGCCACCATGCCTTGCCTGTAAGCACTTCTTACTATATTATCAATAATAATTTTCATTTATGCCTTTTCAACTTTTGAAAGGTTTTCACATCTATCATGTCTCCATTCCCCAGAGAAATTTAAGCTGCTTCTCCATTTGTCAGATAAGGGAACTTACCTGCTGCAATTCTTATGTAGAATTAATGCCTACAAGAATTGTGGTTTTTATAACTCCCCAAACCTGGTTCTAGGGTTATTTCTGCCTCCAAAAATTCAGAGTTTTGTGATGACTTCCATTTCTTAACTACCATCTGCTGCCCAAGTGGGCCAATGGCTTCCAGATGGACAGCCTGGAGGAGGAATATTTCTGTCTATTGCACTTAGTGCAAGTGGCACTACAATGGTTCCGGTTGTTGAACAGGCCTTCCATGAGCTCACAAAGATAACAAGGAGATGGCCAGGCATGAAAGAGAAACATCTTTCACTCCTCTTGATCTTCGGTTCAAGATCTTGTTGATCTTATGGCTCTGGTTTATTCTGGTGTATTTATTATTATTATTATTATTATTATTATTTTTAGACGGAGTTTCGCTCTTGCTACCCAGGCTGGAGTGCAATGGCGCGATCTCGGCTCACCGCAGCCTCCGCCTCCTGGGTTCAGGCAATTCTCCTGCCTCAGCCTCCTGAGTAGCTGGGATTACAGGCACGTGCCACCATGCCCAGCTGATTTTTTGTATTTTTAGTAGAGACGGGGTTTCACCATGTTGACCAGGATGGTCTCGATCTCTTGACCTTGTGATCCACCCGCCTCGGCCTCCCAAAGTGCTGGGATTACAGGCGTGAGCCACCGCGCCCAGCCCTATTATTATTTTTTTAAGACAGAGTCTCACTCTGTTGCCCAAGCTGGAGTGCAGTGGTGCCATCATGGCTCACTGCAGCCTGCAACTCCTGGGCTCATGCAATCCTTCCACCTTAGCCTCCTCCTCTGTAGCTGGGGACCACAGACATGCAATCATGGTTGGCTTTTTTTTTTTTTTTTTTAAATGTTTCCAGGCTGGTGTTGAAACCCTGGACTCAAGTAATCCTCCCGCCTCAGCCTCCCAAAGTGCTGGGATTACAGGCATGAGCCACCAACCCCAGCTAGCTTCTGTTTTATGTTTCTGTCTCTGATAGACTGTGTCTTCCATGAGGGTGCAAACTACGTCTGTCTTTTTCACTGCTGAAGACCTTCAGTGCTTAGCGCATGGCCAGCAGATATTCCAGTCCAGATGTCAGAATACTTGAAGGAAGTCAACAAACACATCATTTCCTGTTCAATTTCTTGTAGCCATAAAGCAAGGGGCTGGCAACCAAACCCAGGTTCTAAGATATTAATATGTGCCATATAAATTTTCATGGGTCATTACAAGGTTTATTATATTTTATTATGTAGAAAAATAATTAGCAACCACAAGAAGTGTGTGTCTGTGTGTGTGTGTGTGTGTGTGTGTGTGTGTGTGGCACCAGTTCCTTCTTCCTCCTGTCCTCGGAAGATTCATTAATCCTGCTAGGATAATCTGCAGTTGCTGGTGGTGCTGAAAGTGGAATGGAGAGCCAAGAGAGCTGGAAGCATCTATCTGCTCTTCACTTGGCAGGAAGGGAGGGAAGCTGTCCATTGCCTCTCTTAGGGAATTGCACAGACCTCTCCACTTCTCTCACTTTCCATCTGAAATCACTGACTTCCAAGGAAATGGCTATTCTCAAAGTTGATCTAAGCAAAGGGTCTCGTGTATTTAGACTTCAGTTGGAATCTGACTGGCAGTATCTAGTCACCCTGCTGGACTTTCTAATGAATGACTCAGCCAGCAAGAGCCTGTGAGATTGTTATCTTTGTCCAGAAAGGATAACAAGACCCTTATAGGCTCCAAGAGCTTGATAAGAGTTTAGTAATTTTTGGTTTATCAAATGAGAAAACTGAGGCTCAGAGAGGTTGCTATACATTCCACCCTGTGACCAGTAGAACCTCCTAGAACTTCTGTGTTTGTGTTATGCTATTAAATCCAAATCCCAGACTTGGAAGAGGCCACAAAAAATTCAGAAATGATTAAAAAAAATTCCTCTTTTTGGTCTTTTCAGCCAATTAAGGAAAGTCTACTCATATGTTTGTCTTTAAATATACTGCTTTCTTTACTCAGGCCTCAGAAATTGCATTGTCATTGCTCCAAGAACGGTCAGTTCCTATTTGCTTGGGCATAGCAAACAGGAACACAGACATCCCTCCGTCTCTGGACGGTGACAGCTTCACAGGCAGCTCCTGAATGTTGCTGTAGTTTTCCGGTCTGGCCAGCAGATGACAGCAAACACTTTTGAATGGCAGCTACTCATTTCATTGTTTTTGCGGTTCAACGCTTACTCCCTCAGTCTGAATGTTAGATTTTACTTTTGCAAATGTTACTCTGATGATGATCCTCCTTGGAGGCCCTTAAAAATATCTATCAACTCAGGTAACATGGCCTGACAGCAAAAAGGATTTGTTGTCTTAATTAACCTGAAGGTCATATTGATGAAAAATATACTAAGGCCAGCACTTATTGGTTGGAATGTAACGCCCACAAATGCCTGCAGCGTTCCCTTCAACAATAACATCTGCAAAGCCAAACCCATGCCCTTGTCTTTCAGCACCAGAAACACAGCTCTCTGACCTACAAAACAGCATTTGTGTTCTTGTAAGAGAGGCAAACATCAGTCTCTTGAGCAATTAAATGCTTATAATTGTTCTTAGAAAGCAGCTATTCCCCACCCTCCAGACATTTAAAAAGCTGACATTGTTACCTTGAGCTTAAACTATTAATTTTTTTGGTAGATGTCATGTGAGAGCCAAGTTTCCAGAGTAGATTAAATCTCATTGTGTTTTCAACAAAATGCACAAAGCAACTGCTTAGAGTTAACCATTTAAGAAGCACCATAAACAATTTATTAACTATGTTATTCATTGAAATAGAGTGAAGTGCAGTCATTCCCTTAAAAGAAATGGCGTGTGAACATAAAACAGCCCCTTGATGATGGGGTTGATGTATAGACCTTGCTACAGGTCAGGTCTCACCAATTTCCTTACATTACATGTGTGCTATGGATGTATACAGGGGGATTGAGTAACAGATGACCTCTAAGGTCTCTAGCAATCCTCAGATTTTATGGTTCTAAGATGAGCTACCTAATGGGAACAAGCTCCATTCTGGAGCTTGGTGATGCAGAAATTGTTTAGGCTTGCAGACATCACAGAGCAAGTCACTGGGCTTGTTCTCCATCGTGTCTTGAGACTTTGCCAAGGAACTTACTGGCTAACCGAGCCTTTTGCTGAAAAATCATTTGCAAAGAGGTTTCAGGAAAATGCTGGTGCTGTGTCACTGGCCAGATTCTTTCGCAATTCACTTGATTGCTCCTGACCATAAAGAGAGAGAAGCTCTCTTGGGACATGAGAACAGCACACAGAGGTCACGGCGACTTGGAATGTCACTGCTGAGAATGAGAAAACAGGGTGAGCGAGGCTAAGCAATTTATCCAAGACCAAAGGTAGCGAAAGAACCAAGGCCCTATTTGTTCATCAAATATCTCTGGGTGCTAAGAAATATGCTAATTCCTAGACATATCAAGAGGAGTAAAAGAGGCAGGGCCCGGTGGCTTACACCTGTAATCCCAGCATTTTGAGAGGCCAAAGCAGGCAGATCGCTTCAGGCCAGGAATTTGAGACCAGCCTGGGCAACATGGTGAAACCTTGTCTCTATAAAAAAATACAAAAATTAGCCAGGTCTGGTGCGCATGCCTGTAGTTCCAGCTACTGGAGAGGCTGAAATGGAAGGATAGATGGAGCCAGAGGTTCAAGGCTGCTGTGAGCCGTAATTGTGCCACTGTGTTCCAGCTTGGGCTGGAGGAGACCCTATCTCAAAAAAACAAAAAACAACAACAGCAAAAAAGAGGATATGAGAGCGCTCACGTGATAACTGGGCCATGCTCACTGGGTGTGTTTTAGGGAGAGACGTATGTAAACACATTATGTAATCAAATCACATATGTAATGTGATTATGACAGAGTATGCTCCATACTAAATGTTTGAAAATGGGCCGAGAAAGGGTGTTTAGAAGTAACAGAATGTTGTAACATGTTTGGAGAACATGGAGAAATTCTGTATGGCTAAGGTCCAGAATCCATGGAATAAAGAAGCAGAATTAAGCTGGAGAGGAATCTGAGTAAAG